TTTTTAGTAAATGTGTGTATGGAATTTGAAATTGTCTCTTAAAATGGAGCTTACTGGTCGTCATTGTCTTCCCTTTAGCCTCCAGTCAGTGGACTTTGAAGCTGTGGCAATCACAGTGAAAGAGCTGGTTCGGTATGCCCGCAGTATCAATCCAAACAACCATTCCTGGTTAATTATTCAGGCAGACATTTATTTTGGTAAGTGAGATGTATGGTTGCTTTATGTTTTGTTTTTGCAGTATTTTTAGAGGTGAAAATAATATAATTGATAATTATTTGTGTTCTTGGGAATACATTGATAATTCTCCCATTTATGTGATTTTTTTCAACTTGATAAGAATATTTTTGTTACTGTACAAGTCAAATAAAATTTGACTTGTACATTTCATGATCAGTGTTTTAGTAGTTGAGTTTTTTAAAGAGAAGATTCCAAATAGAATAGAGAGGATAGTATAATGAAACCACATGTGTGCCAGTCTCATTTTATCTGTACACTCACTACATTATTTCACTGTCTGCTATATTATTTTTGAAGCAATAGTTGATGATTTTAAAAAATATATATTGTTGTTGATTTCAGAGAGGAAGGGAGAGAGAGAGAGAGAGAGAGAAACATCAAAGATGAGAGAGAATCATTGATTGGCTGCCTCCTCCTGGAGATTGAGCCTGCAATCCAGGTATGTGCCCTGACTGGGAATCAAACAGATTCATAGATCAACGCTCAACCACTGAGCCACACCGGCCAGGCTAGTTGACAATTGTTAATGCTTATTTTCACCCCTCGCCCAGAGAATTTATTATCAGGATCTTATTATCTATTCAGAAAAGATTTACTGATTCTAAACTACCTCAGAAAATTAAGTATGACATTTGGGAAATAAGTACCTCCAAATACTAAGTTCTGTACTAGTAAGTTTGACAAGAAGGCTGAAACAGATTTTTGTGTAGTCACTTTTAGAAGGCAAAAACTATTATATTGCTTCTTTAAAGTAGTTTTTTTAAAAAAATATATACTTTTATTGATTTCAGAGAGGAAGGAAGAGGGAGAGAGAAATAGAAACATCAATGATGAGAGAGAATCATTGATCGGCTGCCTCCTGCACACCCCCCACTGGGGATTGAGCCCGCAACCCAGGCATATGCCCTTGACCGGAATCGAACCTGGGACCCTTCAGTCTGCAGGGCGATGCTCTATCCACCAAGCCAAACCGGCTAGGGCATAAAGTAGTTTTTTTAAAAAGGCAATATTTTGCAGTGTTTTCTTGGATAAGTGTTATCTTGGTTTGAATCTGCTTTTGTCACCTGACTTCACCAAAGAGGCCCGTCTGTTTTTCCAACTGATAATTTGTGATAGGTAATTCTTGATCTCTGTTTTCTACTCCAGCAACAAATCAGTATTCGGCAGCTCTTCACTATTACCTTCAGGCTGGAGCTGTGTGTTCTGATTTCTTTAATAAAGCTGTACCCCCTGATGTTTATACAGACCAGGTAGGTTGTTTATTGGCTTTTCTTCTTGTCTGCCTTTAAATGCTCTTCCTGGGTTCCTTTTGGGTGAGTTTTCATTTCCATGTTTGTTGTCATGACTCCCAAATTGATTGCTTTAGATCAGATTGCTGTCCAATATTAAAAATTTTCAGTAACTTTTTAAAATTAATAAATTGTTTTTTAGAACAGTTTCATTTCTTTTTTTAATTTTATAAAAAATATACTTTTATTGATTTCAGAGAGGAAGGGAGAGGGGAGAGAGAGTAGAAACATCAATGATGAGAGAGAATCACTGATTGGCTGCCTCCTGCACGCCCCCTACTGGGGATTGAGCCCTCAACCCGGGCATGTGCCCTTGACCGGAATTGAACCTGGGACCCTTCAGTCTGCAGGCCGACTCTCTATCCACTGAGCCAAAATGGCTAGGGCTAGAATAGTTTTAGATTCATAGCAAATGGAGAAAAAATTAGAATTCTCATATACCTGCTTTGTATCAGCTATCACATATATCTTAGTAAATGTTCCCTGTATACTTTAAAAAACAAATGTGTATTCTGCTGTGGTTGGGAGTTTTGTAAAAATGTACAACCTCCACTCGTGTACAAACTCTCCCACTGTTCACATCCCATATCAGAACAGTACATTGTTATAATTGATGTTAGTTTCTTAAAATAATCCAAATTGTTTTTATAGGTAATAAAAAGAATGATAAAGTGTTGTTCTTTGCTGAATTGCCACACACAGGTTAGTTTAATATTTTGATGTTGGTTTATTTTCCTGTATATTAGAGTTTATAGTAAATATAAAGCATTGGACTGGGAAATAGCTTTTATTTTCCTTACTATTGCTTAAGTTTATGGTATTTAAGAATTTGGCATATTTAAGTTTTTTTT